TTCAAGATCCTGGATTCTGATTACCCTTCATCTGTTCCAATTAAATGTCAGTAAATAGTAAATCAAAAGTTGATATAGGGACATGGAAGCCGTTTTGACCGATAATGAATAGTTTCAACACAAAATAACCCCAAAGTCGAAAAATCTTGATTTTGAACACCCTACATCTTTGTTATCATTACCGCTGGACCCCAAGTGTGATGCATTGATTAAATCAGCTCTACAGGGAGAATCTAAAAATTCAATGAAATACAGGGTGTTCCATTCAATGAATCAAAGTTGCTGATACTTTCTACTAGAAACGACAACGCCGCATCGTTTAAAATATTTCAGACGTATAGATCATGTCAATTGATATAGCCATCAAATTTTCAGATTCATCTGTTGCTTGCTTTGTCAGAAACGTCTAATTAATGCTCATCGTGAAAAGCCCTTCATTAATAGCCATTACATGATCGTAACACAATAGTGTATTGTTTAACGAGCACGGAATGATAGTGATTTCCTGCGAGAATAAAGTTTGCAGCATGCGCCACAGGCGAATGCTGCAATCATTTCGAGTAGGAACTTAGTATTCCGTGCAAGTTATACACTATAATTTTTCTACGGCTATAATCAAGGGCGTCCCCAGAGAGGGGCAGGGTGGGGCAGCTGCCCCCCCCCCTACGATCAACGCTCACCAGTCACCCTGCTATCATTGAAACGACTATTTAATTCATCACATAATCTGACCAATCACAAGCCAGACAAAACGTGTGCTTATCGCGAAAACTAGATGTTTTCAACGATGTAACCATGGGTAGCGAAGCGAAGTCTGTCAATTTGGCAAAAAATAATGAGTGTACTTGTCAGAATGAATCATTCATTCAAAATAAATGCTTCTTTGCTTCGTGAACGTGAAATAGTTTCCACTCTGTTCTGAATATATTCTCATAATTCTTCATTTCCTTGTCAAATCTATTGTGTTGCCGTACAGTCCTACCTTTCGTCCTGACGCGTGGTGTTGCTCAGCAACACAATTTCGTGAACAATGAGGCGACAGAATTATCTCGAATATTAAGAATATCGTGATATTACTTATGATAACGCTCACTTTGAGCAAAGAACTTCCGAAAGTATATTTTTCTCCTGAAGTTGAGAAGGCTCTGAAGATCCTTGTTGCCTTCACCTTGTAAGATTTGTACAGTTGAAAGGTCATTTAGTAGCCTTAGGAGAATCAAAACCTGGTTGAGGAGCACCATGTATGATGCTCGACTCAATGGCCTCGCAATGATGAGTATACACAGGCAACATATTTTCAAAAACTTGAACGATTTCGTCAAAAAGTGACCAACGAATTCCCAAAGAACCCTAGAAGATTATTTTTCAACTGATTTACTGTATAGATTTTTTTCTGTTTTTTGATTTTCTCAAACTCTTTCTATTTGATTTTTCTCTTCAGTTTTTTTATGGTGCCCCCCCCCTATTTTTTCCGCTGGTGACGCCCTTGGCTATAATAGATAACAGCGGCGTTTTCGATATCTTCGTCTTGTAGCCATCTGATTTAATGTCAAGTAATGCTCATCTATTAGACAGAGCTGTCATTGCTTCACATTTGACATTCCATATGCGATGAGTTTTTTTTTTTGGAATAATAACACAATGGAGTCAGTGATATGTGATATCAGATACGGAAATAATATTGATGACATACAAAGTACCTCATTGGCTTATCGAACACAGTAAAACAAGAGCAATTTTGTGTTATAGCTGTAGAAAAACTATTTTTCCGTTGACCTCGTATTATCGACTATTAATGAACGATTTGTCTATTAATGCACGATTGTTTTATAGGCAACCAAACATACACCGCGTGCATTCATTGTTCATGCTATAACTTAGGAAATCTGCATCACAGCGCCTCCGCCAATAAAAGAGGTACCGCTCCCAAGTTCCCCCATGGTTATGGATCATCCAAGAGGCTCAATTTTTTTTTTTCTGGGTAGTCAAAGGTGCAATCGATGCATCTTATCGAATGGATTTTCATTTTTTCACATAGACTAATTTATAATCACCTGTAAAGTAGTGCGTTTTTGACCGATTTTGTGAATTTTTTTCTACGTTGTGGAATCAAAAATTGAAAATCTAGTCGATAAGATGCACAGATCAGATGTAGTACTCTTCAGAAATAATTTTTATTTGCTGAAATCTTATTTGGTTTTTGCATGGGAAATTGGGAGCGGAGGCACCGTGAAGAAGGATTTTCCCTGTAGGCGCGGCACTTAACAAAAATAAGCTCCTCCCATAAAATTCAAATGCCTCATTGATAGTCAATGGTCCTATGATGAAGTATGGTATTTATTATTTTCACGAAATAGTCTGCGATCCAATTTGTCTTTTCATACTACGAACCTATTTATATTTCGTTCAATAAACCTACCAGCCTTATACTTGATATAATATAATAAATATAGGTATCATGGAATCAACAAAGCAACTGTGTTATACCTACTCAGTTGATAGATTATTTCTAATTCTTCGAACACAGGGAAGTGCTGGAATGTTCTAAGCGATATTTTTAATATACCTATAGTCCAACAAATAGATAGATATAAGGAACATGATAAAATGATCAAATGGATCAGGGTGTGATTTTAACTATATGTAGACTAATTTTTTCCATGCAAAGTTGAGCCAACAAAAAACACAGGTGCTTCGTCATACCGTCATTTCTATTGAACAGGTGAGATGAGCGAAAAATTAAGATTCATTAGACATTTTACATTTTCCATATTATTTTGAAAAAAATTAATGAAATACCGATTTACCTATTCACAGAGGAATGTCCTAGATAACAATAATTATATGGAATATATAGATAGAATCCGAGATGAAATTCTTTTGATGGTAGGTTAGGTATGCGTATTTTGCTTTCCAATCAATTCGAAGAATCCAGAAAATAATGTATAGAAGAGTTGAGATCAAACTGAGTCAAAGCTGTGAAAAGAAGAAGAAAGAACGAATCACTGTCAGTCTTTAGAGGGATATATGCAAGAGAAAAAATCTCCACCTCTCAGACGGTTAGTTAGAGAATTATATATCCAAAAATACCTAATCAATGCAACATCGTTGGTTTAAGGAGAATGGACATTTGCATCAGAATCTGAATTATAGGTGAGATAAGCGAAAAAGTACTCCAAGATTTATAAGACATTTTACATTTTCCATATCATTTTGGAAAAAATTAATGAAATAGTGATTCACTCATTCACAGATGAATGTCCTAGATAATTATGATTATATGGAATATATAGATGGTGGTAGCTATAGGGATGCGTTTTTTGCTTTCCAATGAATTCAAAGAATCTAGAAAATAATTTATAGAAGAGTTGAGATCAAACTGAGTCAAAGCTGTGAAAAGAAGATAGGAAAAACGAATCACCGTCAGTCTTTGGATGGGTATGCAAGAAAAAAAATCGTCACCTCAGACGGTTAGTTAGAGAATTATATATCCGAAAATAATCAATGCGGCATCGTTGGTTTGGGGAAAATGAACATCCCAATGATGCAGAATTGGAGAAACATATTGTCAAAAAAATGAAAAATAAATACATTGAATCGATGAAAATCTCCAGTATACCTATTGCTGCTAGTCCTGATGGAGTAACTATGAAGATGGCGAAATAATCATTAAAGTTCAATGTCTCTATAATTGTGCCAAATATCTGACTCCGGATAAAGGAATAGCGAAAGGAAAAATAACATTTTGGAATGAAGATGGCCAAGTTAACAAAAACCACAATTGCCATGGTTTCATCGAATCCAGGGACAACACCATGTTAAATACATTTTTTATTTTGCAGCTTGGACTCGAAATGGCATGAAAGTGGAAGCTATTCCTAGATATGATGATTTCTGGTCATCCAAAATGGTATCAGAAATTCATTTTGAAACGATGATCCTGGAACTTGTCGACACCAGACTTATCAGAGGCATGGAAATTAGATAGCCTACTTATGTCAATGGGAAGGACACTACATATATATTCGCATGCTTAGTGGTCACAATATTATGTTTGTATCAAAATCGATTGAATCAATCGAGGGGTAAACCCGTGTGAACCACCTTACAATAATTATGATACACTTGCACAGGTATGTGGGATTCCGAGTCAGATTGCAATATAAATAGTAGTTTGAAAAACTAATGAAACACGCTTCTATAGATAACCAAACTAAGAAGAAATAAGTAGAAAATAAAGAGTTGTTTGGACAAATGAAGAGATGGATTGCCAAAGTAAAGAGAAGCAGAACATAAATAGATCAGTTAGAAAAACTAATGAAACACGCTTTCATGGATAGCCAAACTGAAGAGAAGTATAGAAAATAAAATAGAAAAAGTGTGTTGATACATATTGAACTTAAAAAATATTCTTTAGAAATAATGTTTATGACAAAACGACAACGTTTGCCAGGTCAGCTAGTGCCTGATATAACAATGTCTGATGCCACTAGCGAAAAGCTACTTTACACCTGAACAACTCGTGGAAGGGCTAAGACAGAAAACTGATAACATTCGAATAATTTCGAGTAGCATATGGCCTCTTAAATCGAAAATATGGATTTCATCGAAGAACGGGTTCGCCTTTCCAAGTTTCTGACACGATTTTAATCCCTCTTTTCTAACACAAGGAATTTATTTTCTATGTTGATCATTTCGACAAATGTCTAATGTCACTAATGTCAGTAACAAGGCTACTGGGTGACTCTTAGCAGTTTCCCGATGAATGATGAATTCGCGAACCAAGTTTTCTTCATTGCAGGAGAAATGAGAAATATAGTCGACGGAAAAATTCTGTAACCAACTTATATTGAAAGGCGATTAATGATCTCGAACATTATTCGCCCTCATTAATACACTAGTTGGTTAAATAACTATTTTCTACGGGTCAATGAATAATGAAATAAAAAAATTATATTATTTTCAGGAAATTCTTGGTGGATGCCTGTGAACATTTGAAGATGACTGCTGGCAATTTCTACGTCAACGATAAGTCGACCGGTAGTGTTGTGGGACAACAACCATTCGGCGGTGCACGAATGTCAGGTTAGTAACTGTCATTTTAAATAATCCCAATAAATAAATATATCAACGAATAAAACAGAACCAGCGCATATACAGGGTGTTTCATTACTAATTACTAAATAAAACTATCCGTGGTCGCCAAGGTCATATGAAAAAAAAAATCCTCTAATTTTAGAAACCGTGATAAATAATGATCTGAAATTATTTGAAAAATGGCTCCACTCTAACCTTTTATCAATAAATACCAGAAAAGCTGAATACATGATTTTTCAACAAAAAAATAAAAAGAAAATTCAGCTCAATATTCAAATAAAGAATGGATTCTTGAAACAAACTGAACAGATAAAGTATTTAGGTGTTCGGTTTGATGAATAATTGAAGTGGGACGAACATATTGAGGTTCTGACAGAGAAAATGTCTCCTATTATTGGTGCATTGAGAAGATGTCCCAAACTCAATATGAAAATTGCCAATATAGTACTGTATTCACATATACCCGAATCAACTATTTAATGAATGTTTGGGGATCTTGTTCTAAAAATAATTTCAATAAAATATCAACATTATATAGGAAATCATTGAAAGTACTGTATTGTCTTCCGTATGATAGATACACCAACAACTGAATGTATGCTTTAATAGAAACATATTCTTTAGATGAACTGTATCGATTAGAGACTCTGAAAATTTCATACAATATCATAAATAAAAAATTGAAATCTAATATCATTTTGACAAAAAATTTTGAAATTCATAGTCATCAAACTAGACAATATAGCTTATTTCACCTTGATACTGCTAGTTCTACACTCGGACAAAAAAGATTCACTCAGGCAGCCTTATCTGATCATTTCTGAGAGAAATGTTTAAAAAATTCATCGGTGAGTTATGTCCTTGACTAGAATTATCTTCTTTGTTCATTGATTCTTTTGTTTTATTTTGATTTATTGTGACATCCTGATTTATTATTCATGTTCACTTCTACTCATGTTTGTGTAGTAGTTCATAGATATTTATTACTTATTATTTTATAATAATGTTCCTCCTCATACCAGGACTTGTTGTAACTGGAATAAATGTTTGATAAATAAATATATTTATTTATTTTTTTTTTATTTTTTTATTTTTTTATTTATTGGTAAATCACTTATAATGAGTTACAAAATAAACATATCATTGGGTGCACAATGGATTTGATGATCTGTGTGTGCATCCTACTACTTTATATATACCTATCTATTTAACATATACAATACATACTAATTTGCTAAAGAGGTTAACAGTGAAAAACTATGAATACCTACATTTCAGCTTCATAAATCATCTAATGTCAGTTCACTTTCGATTATCTATTTATTTATTTGTGATTTCACTAGTTTGTAAGGCTTATTTCTGATGTGCAGTGGTAAAACATTATACATTTTTGGTCCAATACAACATATGTGCGCTTGTGTTGCTGAGAACGAGACACTGGGGACTAGAACATTCTGTCTAGCCGCAGCTCTGGTATTCAATTGGTGATTTAAAGCATTTCTATAATATTTTTTCATAATCATAAATCTTATGGTTGATTTTATGTAAAGTTGTTCAATATTTAATAATTTGCTATCTTTGAATAATAAGATTGTGGGAAAAGTTTTGTTTTTATACAACATTATTTTTATTATGTACTTTTGTGCCACATATAGAGGTGTCATTGTATTCATTCGAGCATTGCCCCATACTACCAGTCCATAATTAATTACAGATTCTACTAATGCCAAATATACTGTTTTTAAGATTTTTGAATTCAAAATATGCCTTAGCTCATAAAACTTGAAAATCAATTTTCTTATTTTACTGGTTACATAGTTTACATGGAATTTCCATGTCAAGTTTTCATCAAGTAGTATGCCTAGATATTTTATATATTCCTTTCTCTCTATTATATTTTCACATTTACAAGAAGTAGTGTCGATTTTACATTTATGATCATGGATTTTCAAGGATCGGAGTCCTGGCAAAGTTTTCTGGGTTAGGCCGAAAGCTATGAATTTGGTCTTATCAACATTCAATGTTAATAAGCTATAATCTAGCCACCTTTTTATTTTAGTGATTGCCACCTCGGCCTTTTGAACGGTAGATTCCCAGGTATCGCCAACTACTATTATGACAGTATCATCAGCAAAGCAATATACTTTTCCTTCTTCTATGACAGACGTTATATCGTTAATGTAGATATTGAAAAGCAGTGGCCCCAGCACAGTACCTTGTGGCACACCACATGTCATCTCCAGTGAATCGCCTATTGCATCTCCTATTTTAACTTGTTGGGTTCTACCACTCAAATAAGACCCAATTAGTTCATTTGCGATTCCTCGTATTCCTATATTATGCAATCTCTCTAATAAAATATGGTGTGCCACAGTGTCGAATGCTTTGGCCAAGTCCAGAAATATTCCAATAGTTCTATTTTTTTCATCTAAGCTAAGTGATATTTGATGGGTGACTTGACACAAAGCATCCTCTGTGCTGGTACTTTCTCTAAAAGCATATTGATGACTAGACAACAAATTATATTTTTCAAGAAAAGCAGTGATTCTGATTTTAATGCAAATAAAATATAGTTCCACTTGGGACCCCCGGTTTGTGGTTTTCGTTCTACTCAAGCACAGTACAATATAGGTACTGCTGTTTGTGAAATAGAGGAAATTCAAAAGGCCAGACCTTATAGGTTCTCTGTTTTAATCGTATTTCTACAAATACATAGAAAAATAGAAATTCACTGTTTTCTAACCCTAACCATAAGTTACCATTAAATAGGAATTGACAGTTTGCAGAACGCAAGAATTTTGTTTGTGCACACATATGTGCGGGCGATTCGAATGAAGTTGAGCTGGAATATTAATCGTTCATCGGCTGTAATAAATTCCTTCCTTCCTTCCTTCTTCAGTGTGGGCTTAACCTTTTCAGTTATTTACCCAGATTCTTCTTAAGGGTGAAGCTGCACGTGAATGCGTCTGATCCTGTGATCATCACTTCCTCCCTGTGGTAATAAATTTGTTATTTACATTCTTCATATTGTAGGTTAGGTCCACGATCCTAACCTTATCTTTTCGCTCTTCTTATTTCTTATTGTAAAATGAGTTCGTGTCGGGTGACAGTGTTGCCAGTCCCGAGCCACCGTGTTGCCATATAACTTGCTAGTCCAAGATTCGTGAACTATACTCAGCCGCCGCAGCGTCCGTCTGCCTTAACCTGTGGTTCCGTGACAGACTCCCATCGACTATATTAATTCCTTTATTTGTTTTGAATTTGGCGCGCGGAAACTGTTTTTTCAAACTTCCTTAACGGTCAGCGATCGCAGCGCGGAGGTCGTTCCCCTTGTCAGGTGCATTTAAACTTTAAATGTCTGGTTGAAGTTAACGTTGGGTCCGAATCGGTGATGTAAAGAGGCAACCTTTCGGTTTTGTCAGTATTTTACCCCTGTATGGGAATTATTGTGCAACCTGGTGTTTCTATAATAGCCGAAGTACCACGCGGACGAATAAAGTTCCAGTTCCAGCTCCTACTCCTGGCGTATTCTTTACTCTGTCTAACCCCCCCAAAAACCCGTCTCAGCTCAAAGTATAGACCAATCAGAACGATCGATTGCAATCATTGGTTTTGACAATGATGGAAGTAAGATATGGTGCGCGTATTCGGCCATTATTACGTATTGAAAATTTCAGAAAAATCACTCGACCGCCTACTATGATTTCTCTACGTCACAACGAGCGAGACGTTGATTCTACCTTTTCGCGCTAGATGGTGATGCTGTTATTGCTGCTGTGACGAGTGGAAATAAAATGGCAAATGGCATTTTAGGTACGCGGAACATATGTATCAGTGGGATTATTCAACTCTGAATTCGAAAAATCTGCGACAATTTCAAAACTGACAGATGTCATAATTGTGCAATGTCGCCATCTATTAGAAGATCGACGGAACCATTGTTCTCGCTGTTCTGAGAGGTCGAGTAAAATTCCTGAAACAAAAGCGCATCAGTAATTACACCATATCTAACTTCCATCATTGTTTTGACGTAGATCCTTGTGTTCTTGGATGAATAATCTGAGGAAGTATTCCCAACAACAAAAGTTCAAAAAAAAATCCAATACCTACCTCCTATCCCTATCCTTCCTAGGAACGCACGATGTTCTTTGAACATTATAGGGATTCCCTTTCGTGCGCTCCAAGCGATAAAAAAAAATGTTCATCATTGTGACAATGAAAATTATTCGAATAAGTTATGAATTGCTTATTGAAATTTGAAATTTTTCTCAGTAATAGGTTTTCGATTGAAATTGAAATTGAAATTGAAATTTATTGAATTGAAATCGCATTACATGGTGAAAATCAGATAACAAATATACATATACATACCCATATATTAGTTAGATATTATTAATTTCTTCCATATCCTAGACGCATGACCTAAGTGCTTGAGGCACTTGCTTTGTTCTGCATCTGGGATTGTCGAAATGGTATTGTGTGCCTACATGGTGTGAGTGGACATGGAAATTCGTATCTATCATACAATTGTACAGTCTTGTACTAGTTCACATTATTATCGAACCCTCACAAGATCCTGGAGGCTAACCTAAATGCTTGAAGCATTTGTTTTGTTCTGTCTTCAGGATTGTCAGGATTGCTGTAGTACTATGTGTGGTTTGAGAAAAGATATTTATAATAATAAGTGTAGGTCGGGAGTTAGAGGTTGAGAGCTGGATGGGTTATTTTTTTTTCAAAATATTTTTATCAATGTAGTGTAATTTGTGGTAATGTAGTTTTTTATTTCATATTTGAATTGACTAAGTGATTTTTTTTCTTTTATGTTCCTAGGCAGTAAGTTATATAATTTGGGACCGAAGTAGATAAGTGTTCTTTGTGTATGTGATTTTTTGAAGATAGGGAGAGGCATATTTAGATTTTCTGTTGATCTGGTGTTTTGTAGTCTATATGGGATATCAGTAAGTTTGTTTTTATAGACCCATATTAGGCTGTTGTAGATGAATAAGCTTCTTACATTGAAAAGTTTCGTTTCTTTGTACAGTTGTTCAGTGGAGAACCGTTTTTTCTTATGGAAAATTATTTTTATAATTGTATTTTGCATTGCTTGAAGACTTTTGAGGTTGTTGTCGAAGAGTCCACCCCATACAGTAATGCCATATCTAATGATCGATTCTGCCAGAGAATTATAGATTATTATAAGATTGTTTCGGGTAAGTATTTCTCTCAGATTGTATAGTTTATAAGTGAGTTGTCTTAAGCGTTTGATGACATGACCAACGTGTTCATCCCATCTCATATGTTGGTCAAGTATAATTCCGAGGTATTTTAGTTTTGACTCCTTTTCTATGGTTGGGCAAGTGCATTGATTATTCTGTGGGCAGTTCAGTTTGTGGATTTTCAGTGTTTCCTTATTCGGTTGATCGTTACTTAACAGTGTGAAACATACAAATTTTGTTTTGAGAATATTTAGGCTTAGTAGATTATAATTTAGCCATATTTGGATATCTTTTAAACCAATTTCAGCAGTTTGGTATGTTTCATGCCATGACTTTCCTGAAAATACAATTGCGGTATCATCTGCATATGAGATGAGATGATCGATGGAGTTTATGCTGCCAATACTATTTATGTAGACTAGGAACAGTATCGGACCCAGTACTGTGCCTTGTGGAACACCGACGGTTATTTCCTGGGGTTCACTGGTATATTTGTCTATTTTTACTTTTTGATATCTGCAGGATAGATAGTTCTGCAATAAGTCTTTCATAGGTCCACGTATTCCATATCTATAAAGTTTATCTATGAGCTTGGAGTGTGACACTGTGTCGAATGCCTTGGCTAAATCCAGAAAAACTGCTAGGCATTTTTCGGACTTCTCCAAGGCATCGACTATGTTTTTTGAGAAGTGTAAAACAGCTTTTTCAGTATTAGAATCATTAATGAACCCAAATTGTTTTTTTGTTATCACTTGATGAATATTAAAAAAATTTACTAGACGTTTTTTTACAGAGTGTTCAAAAATCTTCGCAAAACTGTTTATCCCGGATATAGGTCGGTAGTTGTTAAAATTACTTTTATCACCTGATTTATAAATAGGGGTAATTACCGACTCTTTCCATTGTAAAGGTATGACATCAGATTTATACGTTATATTAATGAGATGGGTGAGTGGTTCCACAATGTGCAGATGGACATTTTTTATCAATATGGAGGTTATTCCATCTGGTCCAGGGGCCGACCTGTTTTTTAGTTTAGATACTATATTGATAACTTCATTACTGGTAACCGGCTGTAGGAACATCGATACATTAACATGTTATACTAGATTTAGTACTTTTGCAATAATAAACAACTAAACAACAAATAAACAACTATCTTATTTTTAGAGATATACTGAGCTATTCGACTTACTTTGATATTCAAATAGTTTCAGATACCCCTCTTTTACCCTCATCAATATAATTCAAATTCCAACTTGGAGGTCAGGAATTGATGATTTTTGCAATATTTTTTTTTGCAACAGATATAAAATATCATCCTGAATACGATCAGGTAGTTGTCTGATTTTGTAGCATCCATTCCACCCCTCTTTCACCCTCCCTCTTACCAATATAATTCAAATTCCAACTTAGAGGTCAGGAATTGATTTTTGCAATATATTTTTCTTGAAACAGATGTTAAATAGCTTTCTGAACACGATCAGATAGTTGTCTGATTTCGTACCATCCATTCCACCCCTATTTCACCCCCTTATCAATATAATTCAAATCAAAAAATCAAAAAATCATCGAATATACGCTCCGCAATGACGATGCTTCAAGCTTTTTTGACTTCCAAGAAATATGCTAGCAGTACCTCTTCTTACTTCTGTACATGTTTCTACGTTCCGTTCTTTGCACCATTTGATAAACTCAGATAACTGTTTTTTATATTGTTCCCAGATTTTCTTGGTAATAATTGGCCTTCAGCTTCTTGAGCTGCCTTTTCGTTTTGTTCCATCGCGATCAACGTCTTTCAATCGGTGTGTTTTACTTAGTGACTTGTCATAACATACCAAGATTTTCAGTTGCCGATGACAATCATTATCTGGATCACCATAGTTCCTGAGGTCGTTGGTATGGTAACAATCAGGCCCTTCGATGATGTTTTAGAAATAGAGTACCTTTTAGTAGCATTAACATTTTTTTTGTTATTTCTTCTTCAACGTTTTACCTTTCCTGAAGTGCATAAAATAGTATATAAACCTCTGGACTAAAGTGTTTTTAAATCCCTCGACAAATTATCGCCTTCCCATTGGTCGGGCTATAAACTTTTTGTCTAGGGATTTAAAATACCAGTTTATTCCCTAGGTGTATAATGTACTTTTATTGATCCCAAGAAACATACAATGTTTATAGAGGGATACAAAAAAAATAATTGAAATAATACAAGGAGATAGTTGAATTGATAAAATATTGATAAAATTATATTTCTTCAGTTGACTCTTGAATTCTGTGAATTTAATAGATTTTATTCTGTTGGGTAGACTATTATAAATATTTTTTCCACAAAAATATGACGATTTTTTGCCGAATTGGGTTTTTTTCAAATGTTCACTGTCTGGTGTGATGCTCATGGGTATCAGAATTGTTATTGAAAGTACATTCTCTCATTTTTAATCAAATGGATGAAAATGCATACTTTTATTTTGAAGAGAGTCATTATCTAGCAGATCCCTTGGATTGTATGGTCTAGATGTTGATTCCAGAAATGGTAGTTTATAAATACATTTTATGGCTTCATTTTGAGGAAATTTCAGAGGTTTCAAAAACAGATTTTGCTGCGGTACCCCAGATCGATATCAGATACTGCGATTTAGAGTAAATCAAATTAAAATGAATCAATTGTTCGTGGACCTCTACTAAAAATCACATTTCACGTTCTAATTTCCGAACGAAAAACCAACTATTTCCGATGGAAAGTACTTTTCGTCCGCAAACACTTCTCGTCCGCTGCAGGGTTGCCAGTTCTACTGAATTTTCATCGATCTCCTGATTTGCATATTATTTATCCACTAATCTACTGAAATATTTCATAACCTACTGAAAAACATGCTGACACTTATTTATTATTATAATTATCTATATTATTATTCATTTTTAGTTAATCCCATAAACTTATAAACTGCATGATATTTCAGCACGCTCTGTTTGAATTAATTTTACAAAATAAGTAATGAATTTTCATATCTAATATATAAAATTCTCCTGTCCCGGTCACGGTGTTAGTGGTCGGACTCCTCCGAAACGGCTCGACCGATTCGTGTGAAATTTTTTGTGCGTATTCGGTAGGGATGAGAATCGGTCGTAATCTATTGTTTAAATCGAAAATTCAAGATGGCGGATCCAATATGGCGGACGAGTATTGTTATCCGATTTCATTCAAAATTGGTATTTGGGAGTTTTCGGGGTCGGAGATTATGATTCTTTCGTCAAATTTTGGAAATTCAAGATGGCGGATCCAATATGGCGGACGAGTTTTGTAATTATGGTCAGATTCCATTCAAAATTGGTATCTGGGGGTTTTCGAGGTCAGAGATTATGATTTTTTATCAAAATTTGGAAATTCAAAATGGTGGATCCAATATGGCGGGCGAGTTCTGTAATTATGGTCAGAATCTATTCAAAATTAGTATCGGGTGGTTTTAGAGGTTGGAGATATGAATCATTTGTCAAAATGGGGACAGTTTGTAATTATGGTCAGATTCTATTCAAAATTGGTATCTGGAGGTTTTAGAGGTCGGAAATATGAATCATCTGTCAAGATGGGAAATTTCAAAATGGCGGATCCAATATGGCGGGTTTTGTAATTATGGTCAGACTCTATTCAAAATTAGTACCGGGTGGTTTTCAGGGTCGGAGGTAATGATTCTTTTGTCAAAATATGGAAATTCAAGATGGCGGATCCAATATGGCGGACGAATTTTGTAACTATGATCCGATTCCATTCAAAATTTGTATCTGGGTGATTTTCGGGTCGGAGATTATGATTCTTTCATCCAAATTAGGAAGTTGAAGATGGAGGACCCAATATGGCGAACGAGTTTTGTAATTATGATCCGATTCTATTCAAAATCTGTATCTGGGGGTTTTCGGGGTCGGAGATTATGATTTTATTCTCTAAGATTGGGAAATTCAAGATGGCGGATCCAATATGGTGAAAGAGCTTTGTAATAAATAGTAGTTAGATAGACAATAGAAGTAAAAAATTGATAGTATAGTTTATAAAACAAGATAGATTGCCGAAATAAAAAGAAGTTCAAAACAAAATTATAAAAGTGTGTTGATGAATATTTAACTAAAAATATATTTTCTAGAAGAAAATGTATATAGCAAAACAATGTGTGCCAGGTATCAGCATCAGCTAATGTAATAAAAATATAGAAGTTTGAAAAACTAATTAAACACGTTTTTATATATATTCAAACTAAAAAGAAGTGGGTAGGTAGTAGATAAATGAAAGAAATAAAGAGATATAGAGTGCCGAACAAAAAGAAGTAGTAAATAAGTAGAATAGTTTGAAAAACTAAAGAATCCCTTTTTCATGGATAGTCGAACTAAAAAGAAGCATAGATAAAATAATGAAAGTTCTTTGATAAAAAAATATTTATGTAAAAAAAAATTTCTCTAGAAATAATGTTATGGCAAAACAACGTTTGCCGGGTCAGCTAGTAGGTTTATAGAAATACGCTTACGGGTGGAGGGCCAAATAGACCCACTCATTTTAAACCTGACCCAACTCATTCATTTCATCAGTGCATTGTTTTTAATGTTATCTTTCACTTCCAGGAACAAACGATAAAGCTGGTGGTCCCCACTACGTTCTGCGATGGGGAAATCCTCAAGCAATCAAAGAAACATTCGTACCTCTCACGGAAATCGAGTACCCTTACATGAAACAGTAAGGACTCTAGGTGGTAAAGTATAGCGTTATGCTTACATTTTGTTTATGTGATAAGTACCTTTCTACTTCTCAAATCTGTTAATTCGGGTATTTATCAGATAGGATGAAATCGTTGTGTAGGGCCTCTAGGAAATTTTTCTAGTTTTCGTTCAGAGTATTATTTTCTATGTATTGATATTTATTATATTGTTGAATGTGACCGGCTGATGGTCCAGGCGAAATGAGGCTGATTTTTTAGGTTTCTAAACTGGATGCTCAAAACCGAAATTCTGTTCATGCATTCAATGAAGGTACAGGATATTCAAAAAATAACTTCAAAAGTTCAAAAGGTACCTTCTCGAAGAATTTACGTTATTTGAATACCTATTTTCATCCTTCTACTGTATATGGAACCACCTTGAATATTTCAATTGGCATGGAAGATTAAACGCATCTATTTTCAAATAAAAATACGATGGTCATAAGTGTCCGCTTTGTTTGACCGCTCTGTAATGAGGACACAGATTTTTCAGATTAGAATGATCTTTCACTCAATCACCAATGCCAATTGAAATTATCAAGATACACCATTTAAAAGTCCTCTACTCTATTGTAACATAAATTTTTTCTGGTGCATATTTTTATAAATCGTTTTTTTTTTGCTGGTTAAACCGGTTGCACTTAGTGCTATTTTCAGTGATAATATGGTGATAAAGCTATTGAATGGTTTGGTTCCAAACATTTTCATTCACAATATCGCTTTCAAAAATCTGCAGCAGATAACGTTTGACTTTATTGACGCGATGGACCACTTCCAGATGACGTCACAAAATGACGGACACATCCGTTACAATGAATTGCACATATTTCACATGGGAAGGGTCAGACATTTTGTGCTATTTGTTTGCAGAAATGTCTGCCAAATTGAGTATCGTGTCAACTACATCGTTTTGTGTCAATGTCAATTATTATAGTTAGTTCGAAGGACGAAGGGCTCAAGAAGATGTCCTTGGATTTATATTCAATGTTCAACCTTTAAACAGGTTTCTATCTAATCTAAATACAATAATTTTACAGTGACACCGATTTCATTCACCTCTGTAGCCATCCTCACAATATCAAATGTCTGACCCTTGAAAATGTGGTCAATAGGAGTTTACAAATAATATAATAACAATTTTCATCGAGCTACCGGGATATTTTTCGTCGTTTTCATATAATCTAAAGTTATCCAGTGTAGAATTTGAAGAACTGGAAATTTTTATTGGAAATATTATCTGTGGTGTGAATAAACTTTTATTCAAAAGAGAAATATTAGATCATAACTTTATGTGACACTTCTCATTAGCTGAAATTTTATTATACTTCTGTCAATTGCGATGACAGCTTTTAGCGTTACTTTCAGTTTTATTGTCAATACGTTATTTCATCTGAAAAAAAGTGATTGTTATCATATTGAATCACGGCAACAGAAAAATATTACAGGTGTTTCAATAACTAAACATTTCCCATTAATTGTTAGTTTCGGAAAAACAATTGGAACAGATGAATTGGTACTTGACCTGAAAAATCTTCAGAACTTCTGAACCGAATATTTCTTTCTCAGCAAAATGCAATATCAGTCATCCAAAACAATCTGTTCCTCAACTGAATGAAGTTTTTAGCTGGTTCTATAATTTCATCAAAGTTCACTTATGTCGATGCCAGAATAGATTGATTCTATATCTATTTGAATTCAAACATATAGGTAACAAAATTCCGGTTCAAAACCATCCTTATATTCCTTATATCATATTGTTCAACCAGTGTTTCAAATTTGTGATAGTTTATTTTCGATGTTAACCTTTCCAAGCCACAAGCTGAATTCAATTAAAGTTGGTATTTATTAGGATAAAATAAATGACAATATCATCATAAATGTTAAAAATAGAAAGGTGTGTATTTCAAAAAGTTTTGTTGATGACAGTGTACATTATGTAATATTCTTGTTTGTGAATTGCAATGTATATTAGGTATTATATTGTATTATGATTTCATAATCTAAAAATAATTTATCTAGAAGTATTAAAATAAATAAGCAATAATGGTTAGTTTGTTGTGATTCCTATTCAAAAATTGTTCAGGTGGTGAACGATTACGTAATTTTGCTGTTGGTAGATAAACATCCGAACAAGTCAGAACTGAAAACAGGAAAATCAGAAGAAGAACATAAACAATCAAGTAATTTCCATCACCTTTAATAATCACAATCAATAAATGAATTGACGAATACAACGGAAAGATCGCATATGCCGATGTAGAAAAAAATTTCCGGCATAAAAGGCAAGTGAATTATTTGTTTTATATAGAATCGTCTCTCAGTTGCCTTTCAATTCCATATTTTTTTAGATTTTTTCGGTGGATTTTAAGGTCCTGAAATCATCAATAATGCCGCGGTGATTTTCAAATGGCTAGAAATTAATTCCAAATAACACGATTTAGTAAATAGGAGCAGCCTATAGCATAATTGCCATCATATGTTGAAATACGATTGGGAACTTTAGAAATGGTATATTGTGTTTTATTGCTCATGATGAATTTGTGTTAATTATTAATATATTAATTCACAGTAGAATACATTTGGTCCGGTAAACGTGACAACACAGGATGGTGGGCGTTGTCTTGTCAGTACTCAGCATTCAGCACAATATTACCAAGTCCCTAGCCAACAAGCTGGTCGCTCGAAAAAATCACAATTGAATAAATTCTTAGAAACCATCCATATTACACAAAGTGGTCCAATTTATTTTCAAAAGAAATGCAATAAATTACACTAAGTCGGTCGACCACATATTCATTTAATAGAAGGGTGTGTTAAAAGAAAAGAAAAATCCATGTTAAAACTTGTTGATGTTCATGTTCAACTTCATTAGGGCCAGATTTTTCTGGCTCTCCAGCCGTTTTAAATGAAACATTTTATTTACCTGACTTCTCGGCCTAATGATGCTTTTTGATCTTTGAAATCTCTTTTTTGATGATTTTAATGTGACTATTGTACCGCACAGACCACCTAGAGTATGGATGATTTCTACGATTTAAAAGGGTGTGTAACTAGTTTCGGTCGTAGGCCATTATCAGACACAAATAGGACTGATAAAAATTTTAATTTGACCTAAAAGCTATTTGCAACCCAATTTCCCAATATAACCTGCTGGGGTGCGTTCATAAACTTACTTTAAGTGTAAGGATTGCTTATTATAAAACGTTCATAAACTCACTCTAGCAGTTCAGAGGATGCATTCACAATAGTTCAGAAACTTAGAGTACCCCTGCTTACCCTGCATTTAAATGGAGTACCGTTAAAACGGGGTTACTTTGCATCTCCAGGTAACTTTGCCCATGAGTTCGTGAAAAATCTGAAAACATTTGTCATTTCTCAACTGTTGGTACTAAATTGGCATGCCTTCACCTAAATACTCTCCAGCATTCTATGTTAGTCTGATATCAATAGATTCCAGATAGCTCAATAGGCTAGAAGCTCTAGGTGCCGAAAACCACCTGCCTATTTGGCGGGAGGTTTTATGTACAGGGTGGGCAAAATTAGGCGTTTTCACATCTTAATAACTAAAGGAAACTGGAAGGAAAAGGTAGAGTTTTATGTATATTAAAATTGGAACGCCTGGGACTATCTTACTATGCCAAAATATACGGAGTGTTCCATAAGAAAAAATATAATTGGATGCCGTATCTTTTTAATGTCACCCTGTATAAAATTTCAAATGGTTTCAATGGATTGTTCGCATCATACTATATGAATAAGCTTCCGAAAATGTCCAATATTCCCCACCATAAAGTACTCGGAAAATAAAAACGAAATCGGCAATTTTTCAATTTCCCCCTGAATCTCTGAAACGAATGAAGATATCAAAATTCCGATTGCGCCATGTTAGGTTCCTTTAAAATCGAACCCGTAACATGTATATCGGTTTTTCGATAAATTCTTTAGTTATTGAGATAGCCCGTGAAAACGCCCAATTTTGCCCACCCTGAAATGTTTCATATCAATATCTTCATAGTAGTGACCTCAACATGCCTATTATCAATATACTTACAGGTTTTCGAAACATTATATCGATAACCTGGCGATAAAAGGTTCATCAACGTCAAACTGGTAAATATAGTTCACCAACTGAGATGAGTGAATAGATGAGAGTGAGCTTGTGGACGTCATCTTATTTGGCTGTGTGCTGAATATGGATGCCCGTCCACTAAAGTTCCACTGATTTTATTTTTTTAATACTCCTGTTTTTTTTTCAATTCAAGAACTCTTTTGTAAAAATCATTGAATTCTTCATGAGTTTTGTTGAAGATGGAGACTAGATATCGGGTTCATCACGTTAGACACATTAAAACGCACTTTTATCAAAATTTTGTGATTATTTCTTTCTGGTTTTGAAGCCCCTGTTATATATTCATGGATGGATGGCGAAGTACTACTTCAGATTAAATCTGTTAGTTGCATAAAGAAAGAGCCAAAATTGCACATACTTCTCAGGCGAATACATATCATTCATTCACCGTTCAATAATTATTCGCAAAAAATCCAATATTTCTGACAATGTAACCACGACGGTAATGAGGTACTCTGACATTTGTCAAACTTTGTTCAACGGTGTTTATTCATGTCTTGAATCAATATCTGATCGATTTTATGTTAAACCACATCCATATGGTATTGTCTTCTGTGGTATAATCAACTGGCAGGGATACCTACTGTTTTTATTGAATAGATAGTTGGGTCTGCTGACAAAGTAGTATAATATTCGAATATATTCCATATCCTCATGAAACAAAACCTCAAAACCTGTGAGTTTTATAAAACTTGACATTTGTTATCTTGCATACCTTCACACAGGGGCGGATTAAATGTCGACAGCGCCCTAGGCAAGCATCTCATCGGCGCCCCTCTGGTGGTCATAAGATATTATAAATCATAACTACTAATACACGTGTTCAGGGTGAAGAAAGTAAGAGGGGTAGTTA